CTTTTTTTCTTCTTTTTTTCTTCTTTTTTTCTTCTTTTTTTCTTCTTCGATTTCCTTGTTTCTTTCCAGCGCGGCAAAATTTGAACCTTGGAAAGCGTCGTTGCAGTGGTGCAGCTTGTCGAATATCTGGATGGGTTGATTGTTCGGTTGGGGGAAGGCGGGGATGAATGCTGGGCGGCATATGCATAGAAGTGGGAGGTCGGGTTGGCCAGCTGGGCTGTGGCGGTGCTCACGCTGTGTTGCTCTCGAGCCTAAACAGCATTTTATTTTTGCCAGCAACGCTTCCCAGCTTTTTTTTAATAATAACGGCAGAGCTACTGCCAAGGAGGCAGCAATTACGTGGTTCGTATGCCAAGGCGGGGCTACGACAAACCGGCGATGGGAACATCAAACATGGACCTAGCCGCAACAAGCAGGGTGACACGTGACGGACTGCTAGCCAAATACAGCATCGCTTGGGTGCACCCCCGCAATTCGCGCGATTTTGGCTCCCCTTTCTGCTCTCCATCACCAAGCCGTGGTGCAAAAAAAAAAACGGCCAACGTCGAGCATGGCGGACCCCCTAACCATCAGTGTATCGGTGCTGGCCATCATCACGGGCGCCATTCAATCGACAAAGTCTCTCCACGCCACCGTCAGTCGCTATAAAGCTCGCGACAGGACACTTAATAGGCTACATGACGAACTCGTAGACCTTGCCAGGGTTCTGGACTCGCTGGAGCAGGCTGTTGGTTCCGAGGCGTCAATATGGGCCCTTCTCGAAGGCCCAGTCAGCCAATGCTCCAAAACATGCCGCGAGTTCGAAGAGGTCATGAAAAAGTTTGGCGGAAAGTCTGTAACCGGGCTGAGAGACTGGGCCAAGATGGAGTTCATGCGGGATGATATCAACGGCTTCATTGAAACCCTTGCAACGTATAAAGCGACAATCACAGTCGGTCTAGGTCTTATTAGCATGTTCGTCGCTCGCCCCGTCCTCACCCTCAAGACCTCGGCTGACTCTCCTGAAGGCTTTACTCCAAGCTGAACCATAAGGTCCTCGAACAATTCGATGAGGCGATCAAGGACGCCGTCGACAACCTCGAGATGCGCCTCCAGCGCATTGACGAGAGGCTGGCGCGCATCGACCCGGACGAGACGTCAGACGTGGAGACGAGCATCATGCTGCATGACGAGAGAGAGAGGACCAGACAATGTCTTCGCGTTTGCGAAAAGGCCAGGTCCTACCTCGATTCTTTAGCGCAGGACCAGCAAATCCCACCGCAACAAGGGGAGGCCTCGAGCGCTGGTAATATCGCGCGAGACCAGTTCGAGTCGGAACTCAAGATGAAGCGGGCAATAAACGAGAGCCGAAGCATGTTCACTGAAACGTTGCGCCAGATTCAAGAAGACTACAATCGTCTAGTCTCGAGCGATGGCCCCGAGACCGACCAACAGAGAACGCAACTGCGGCTGCAGGAGCACATCGCCACCTCGAGGCAGTGTTTGGAGCTGTGCAAAGAGGCGTCCAACCAGGTCGCTTTCCAGAAGATCCACATCATCAGGGAGGTAGTCGCCGACGACGACACCGATCAAGTGGTGGTCACGACTCTCGCCGACCTTTTCGACGTGGGAAAAGTGCTGGCCAAGAGTAGATCGTCGCAACTGGTCGGCTCGATGGCGGACGAGACGCTCAAAAAGTTGTCGACGGATCGGTATCGTAGCCGATTTGGCGTCGCCTCTAGCGACCACGGGCCATTGAACCTCAAGGCCCAGGAGGGGAGCAAGCCCGCCCCTCATCCAATCAGGAATGATGGGCAACCGGAAAGTGCGGGCTCGAGGCACGACAAGCCGACATCTAATGAGGTGCGGAAAAGGGCTGCTGAAGGTCGAGGGAGCCCATGAAAGGACGTATGGGGCCTTGTCGCATTTCATGTCCAAAAGTAGGTCTAGTAATATGCATCATTTTGGATTGAGTCAAGCGTCGTCGCCACATTATCATTATGCAAGTCGCTGCCCGGCTGCCATGCAAGATGCCCTCCATTTGGTTCACCCATAGATGCGCGTGGATTAGTGCTGGATAAGCTCCCATGTAAACATGTCTAGAGGTACCTAGCTTCTTCCCCTCCTCTCTCATCCCATAGATCCCCCTGCACAGTTCCACCGCCGCCATCATCTCCCTCCATCCCGCCATCACTCCCCTCTCATCTCCAACATGCGGCCCCCCGACCCAAAACTCCCCAACCCCGAAATCACGAGGCTGAGGAGCAGCGACCCCGACATCGCTAGCTAGCAGTTCCGACGCCTCGCCATCCTGCTCGCACGCCCCGGCGGCCCAGCGGTACTTCGTCAAAACCCTGTTCGCGCCGGGCTCGGCGGGCCAGCTGGCGCGGCTGTCGAGCCACGGCCTGCTGGGCTTCTCGGCCGCCGAGGGCGGCGACCTCGAGAAGGACTGGCGCCTCGTCGTGCTCTCAAGGCTGAGCGCCCAGGGCGTCGAACACACGGCGCAGCTGCGGCCCGCCGCCGCCGGCATGCCCTCGCTCCCCGAGTGGTTCGCCGCGCTCGAGTACGTAGTCGTGCTCGGGCTGGCCGAGCTGCCTAACTCTGTGACGGCGCCTAGCGGCGGTGGCGGCGATGACGCCTGGGGCTTGGGCTCGCTGCTTTCGCCAAGCAAGATCGGTCTGAAGCGCGAGACCGCCGAGGCCATCAAGAAGTTGTCTGATACGGTAAGCGGGCAGGGTCGTTTTCAATCTCACGTCCAAGAGTCTGGTGGTCTCCGGGGATCATTCCTGGAGCCGTCCAAAACCAGAACCTCTGTGTAGGCACTGATTCACAAGCGTGTAAAATGCGCACAAAAAAAAAGGAGGTCGATCGTTTCACACCTCCGCCGCTAGGACGAGGACAGGGACCAACAAGCCGCGTTTGTTGCTTCCAGGGTCGGGGAAATCCTCAACGTGAACGAGCAAGCCTGCCAGACCATGCACATGATGGTGGTCGCGGGCGTGGAGGTCGACCCGGACCGCTGGGCGTCGCTCCTCGGCCAGCTCTGGGAGATGACCCGCCTCATGTCTGAAGCCTTCAGGTCCAGCGAGTACCTGATGAACGCGCACAGGACGCAAATGTACGCCCACTACGGCATTGGGGGCGGCGCCGCCGCCGTCTGGCAGCTGGTGGCGGGGGGCGTCGCAGCCGTCAGCCGGGCCGCCCTCGCCAGCGCGGGCACGGGCTTCCTCGTGTCCATGTACCAGCTGCGGTGCGGGTTCGTCGAGAAGGAGAGGCACGACTACTACGGGAGGCTGCTACACCTGCTCCGCCACATGTGGAAGGCCGCCTCGGAGCTCAACACGTTCCTGCCTAGGATCCGCGTGGCCGGGGACGGGACCCCCGAGTTCAGGCCTGGCGGGCAGCAGCTCTGGGAGCTGTACACCAGTAACGAGGTGGAGACGGCGCCTGCCGCCGTCAAGTATCTTAAATTTCGGCTTCAGGAGCTGGAATTGCTGCGGCTTCGAATTGAGCCTCTTCCGCCCGGGACTGCGGGTGTGCTCTAAGTGAAGCTATGTCCGTTGGAAATTCGTATGTCTGGGTAGTTTACACATTCTGTAGCGAATACACCGTGATTCTAGGGGGAAAAAAACATACACACACATAAAAGAAAAGGCCGTCATCATGATCATGTTTTCGTTTTGTTCTTTCCTGCCCGGGCCTCAGATGTAGCGCATGGCCTGCCACTGCCACCCCTCGAGGGTCCCGGCCGGGTCCTCCTCGAGCTTGTTGGCCACGATGACCTCGTCCAGCCGGACGACGGCCTTCTCCAGCCGGATGGCGACCTGCGGGAGGAGCTCGCGCACGGCGAGCTGGGCCAGCACGCCCATGCAGCCGATGACGGCGGCCGTGATGAACCACGGGTTCTTCATGATGGGGTGTTGCCACACCGAAGGCGGCAGCAGGAGCGGCACGCAGCTGGTGGTTATGATGAGCTAAATGGACTAAATACGGATGGGGGTGGAGAAGAATTAGAGAAAGAAAGAAAAAAAACTCACATGAGGGCGGCGGCCAGACAGCGCCAAAGCAGGCGGCGATCGGCGCCCAGGTCGCGGGCCTGCTGCAGCAGCTCGGCCAGGGCCCTCAGGTCGGCCAGCAGCATGGGGCGGGCCATGGCGGTCTCGCCAAAGGCGCCGTAGTTGTACTGGCCGCCGCCGTGCCGCCGCGATCCGGACAGGTACAGGAAGGCGGCGCGCCGCAGCGTCTGCTGCCGCTGGTTCTCGAGCCGGAACGAGACGCTGCCCAGCTGCTCCGAGTCAGTGGGCAGGGGGGCGCCGGTGGTGGGAGTCGCCATGGCTGCGTGTGTGGTGTATGTGTGTAGTGTAGGCGAGTTTACTGGTTATGCTCCATAAAACGGGACAAGGCACTAACAAACAGTCTGGTTTCTGGCGGGGCGATGGACGGGTTCGGGGAGGAATCACTGGCGGGCAGAAAGACGATGACTTCTTTGAGTATTTCAACCCGATGATAATGAATGGCTGAGAGCAGCAGCCCCATGTCGGAGCCCGGTGGTGGCTGGGCCTTGACCCCTGACAGCGCGTTTGGCGGTGTAGCCCCAGACCGCGCGCCCCAAAACGCGCTGGCCTATCAAACAGCCCCAACCCCTCTCGTCCTTGCATCACGAACTGGTGCCCAACCGGCTGGTCCAACGACGTTGCTGGAACCCAGCTTAATAATGGAATGGGCATACATATATATGCTTCTAATGATGTATAGAAAATGGGGGTAAAAGAAACTCACAAGGATCCGGCAAGCCACGCCTGCGCCACGTTTGAACCAAACCGCCGAATGACTCGCTTGCACAGTCTGCATGCTCTCTTTCTATTCTGGTTACTACCACTCCAGCGGCTCGCACTGGAAATCCTCCAGTGGGCGCTTCTCTATGGTCTCGTCTTGGCTCTGCTCGAGCTGGCCGTCCTCCCGGCTCTTCTCAACCCAGCTTTCCAGTGAAACATCCAGCCGTTGCAGAAACAAGTCCCCTGCCGTGTCGCCGTCGTCGTTCTCGACCTCGGTGTCAATACCTCGCTGGACCAGCGTCATAACAAACCTCTCCAGGTAGCTCCAATTCAATTTTTCTTCTGCAGAATGAGCGAGCAAGTGCAGTGCCGTATTCCCGTGCCTGTCGACGGCGTTGATGTCCTTCGCAACGTCGAGAAAGGCGCGTAGGCTGGAAATTGTGTAGGAATGAAAGATATTGACCCGCTCGGCGGCGATCTCGCGGGCAGCGACAAGCAGTGGCGTGTCTCCTTGGTCGCTCCGAGCATCAGGGTCGGCGCCGGCGCTGAGGAGCAGCTTCAGGCGAGCCGGCTGCAGGATATGACCAACCCCGAGAGCAATATGTACTGGGCAAGGCCAGACAGGTTCGATCAGTCATGTTTACAAGAAGAAGAAAAAAAGAAGAAAAAAAACAACCCTTCTCGGTTGTGAGATACTCACAGGCGTTGTATCCACCCAGGTTACCTCCGTACCGGTCGATGTTGTTAAAGTGAACACTTAGGGCGCGAGCTTTGACATCGGCGCCCCTCTCCAGAAGTAGCTCGAAAACATCTTGGTCTGCCCTCACGAGCGCCGCCTCCATCAGGGGCGTCATACCACGGGCCCCGACTCCGTTCACGTCGACCCCGCGGTCCAGCCAGAACCGGGCGCAGGCGGCGTTGTTGTCCTCGACGGCGGCGCAGAGGACGGTGGGCATCTCCCGGCGCCTGTGCTCCGGCAGGGTTTCGAGGAAGAGTTCAATCGATGGTAGGCACCGGCCCAGCCACCACCCGCCGCCGCCGCCGCCGCCGCCGCCGCCGCCGCCGCCGCCATCCCTAGGCTTTGCGATGTTGCGCCACGTCGACATGCGCGCGAGCATGTCGATGTTGGCATCCCTGAGGCCGAGGTCGAGGACGAGGTACTTGATCAGTTCGGTGTTTCTGCTGTCGGCGGCGGCTTGGGCGAGCTCCTTTTCAGGTAAAGCGGCACCTCGATCAATAGCCTCCTTCAATTCAACAACCCCCAGCTGCGCCATGAACACAGACTGGGTTTCACAGGGACACGTTAATCTTGGGGCGTGCTCATCTTGAGCGAAAAAAAAGAGAGAGAAAATAAAAGAAGGAAAGAAACATACCAGATACCTCGGTCGTGGATCCTCAGGACCGCAAACGTCAGGCAGCGCGTGAATGTCATAACCGTAGGCAATCAAGAGGTCCAACGCATCCAGATAAGCCCGGTCGTCGGAGGGCACACGGCCGGGCCTGAGCAAGACCTCGTGGGAGCAGGTGTCGCGGATGGTCTCGCGGTGGTCCCACAGGTTCCGCAACGCCCTCTTGTTGGGGTCCGCGCCCGACGCGAGCAGCAGCCAGACCAGGTCGACGCTCAGCGGCCGGGCCGCCAGGGCCGTGTGCAGTAGGGGCTGGACGCGGGCCTCGAGGCTCACGTCGGTGTCGGCGCTCGCGCCCAGGGCGAGCAGCAGGCAGGCAGGCGGCGTCGACGCGGCCGTCGCGCGCCGCCGTGTTGAGCGCCGTCCCGAGGTCGTAGGCGCCCTCGCTCGTGA